CCGGATGTACCTTTTTTCTGAGCTCTGGTTTGCCTTTCTTAACTGTGGCCATCACCGTGTCACCCACACCAGCAGCAGGAAGTCTATTCAGTCGTCCCTGATCCCCTTCACAGAGATGATATACAGATTTTTGGCTCCTGTGTTGTCAGCACAGTTGATCACGGCTCCTACCGAAGACCCGGGGAAATGCAGAATTTCGCACCGGAGGACCCACCACGTCCTCGCTCTGACATCTTGAACGCCGGAAAAGGAGAGAAAGCTGTATTTTATTTTATGTTATTTTAGACAGGGTCTTGCTCTGTCACCCTGGGTAGAATGCAGTGGCATCATCACAGCTCACTGCAACCTGAAACTCCTTAGCTCAAGGGATCCTCCGGCCTTGGCCTCCCAGAATGCTAGGATTACAGGTGTGAACCACCACGCTGCACCTGGAGTTTTAAAGCTCCTCACACGATTCTAATGTGAATTCAAATCTAAAAGCCACTAAGGCCTATGCTGTGGTACTGGGGAAAGCTGGATGATCTTGGGCAAGTTACTTCTCTTTGAACCTGTTGCCCCACATGTGAGAATCAAGTGAGATAATCCATGGATAGCACTAAGCCAAAAAGAACAGCTAGTAGTTAAAGACAATTATTAATGAGTAAACAGGGGAAGGCTCTGTGGCTTTCCTAGGGAAGACTGAAACTTTCTGAACCTGTGTAGAACAATGGTTCTCAAACTTGTATCAGAATCACCTGCAGAACATGTTAAACACAGACTGCTAAACATTTCGTTTCCCCCAAAGTTTCAGATTCAATAGTTCTTGGAGGGGCTCTAGAACCTGCACTTCCAGTGAGTTCTCAGGTAATACTGATGCTGCTGGGCCAGGAACCACAGCTGGAGAATTATTACTGCAGAGTGCGTTTCTCAACAGCACTGCCCACTGATGACGTTTGGGAGCAGTTATTTCTTTGAGCATCTCTGGCTTCCACCCACTGCATGCTCACAGCACTCCACCAGATATTTCCAAACATTGTCAAATATGCCCCAGCAGGAAAAGTTATACAAGGTTGAGAATCACTGCTCTAGAGGATCTAAGTTAAAGAAGAATGCAAGTGTCTTAGGTGGGTTGCAGCGTCAAGTGAAGAAAAGAAGTTGAAGCTAGAAGAAAAGAGGTGTGGTATAGCCTAGGGCTTGATGCAGAGGGTGGGCGTCCAGGCAGGACTCTTTCAGAGAAGGATCATCTGTACACTCTGATTGGTGTACAGAGAAAACTGACCAGAAGGCAGGCTCATAGCTCAGATGTGGCTTCATTTGGTGCTGCAGGAACAGGAGCTGTCAGTTTTCAGTCTGGCCCCTCACTTCATCCTGGATCATCAGCTGTCAAACCCCAAAGTCTCTTGGAAAAAGCAATACTGTCCTAACCCAAATGGCCTGACAGTCTTTCTCTAAGGCTCAACTGCCCACAGCTCTAAACTGCTCAGAGCTCTTTTAACTCAGTTTCCCATCCTTCCACCTTGAGATATTAATGAGCAGCAGACTCTATGAGTAAAGAAGCAAATATTCTGTAGTTTTGCTGTGAAGAAGCAACTGACAAGAGCCCTGACCTGTCCTTTCTAGCTGTTAACTAGACTCAGTCCCTGGAAAAGATTATTCTTGTCTTTGAAACCAGTAACTGTGCCTATTGTCTGTTTACCTGGAACAGTAGACAATGTCGGGAGGCCTTGACCTGCCTCCCTACAAGACTCACCCTTATATAACTCCACTAGGCCCATGGTCTCTGAGGATTATCTTCTCTCGCCTGAAAAGGGGTCAACCATCCCTGCATGTAAGGGAAGACAGCACCATGTTGTGTTGTGATGGGTTGGCTTGTAAATAAACTGTTTAGGGGGTTACGAGTGGATGGGATTAGGGCTACAGGCTTGGAGAAAAAAATAATTATGTCAGGGAGGCCCCCCAAATTGAAAAATGATCTGAAAATCCACCACCCTGAAAATGCAGCCTACAAAACTCAGCCATGCAATGAAAACAGAAATTTGGCTCTTTAAGTGCCAACAGTATTAAGTGCTAGAGACTGTGGAAGTCATAAAGGGAAATTAACTGAAAACCAGAGATGCCATTACTCATTCAGGAGCAATCTATCTCTCCCAAAGTGAGAATAGGAGTTGTACCCCCTGAGGATGTTTTATACTCAAATCTTTATTCCCCAGGCTGGGGCTTCTATTTTCTTCAAGTTCTAAGTGGTGCTGCTATTTCCTGTTAATGGCTTCAGCCTCTTGAAGGCACTTGGGAAGATTGAAGAGGTGAAGGTTAGAGGAAAACCCTTGCAGTCTCCAGGGCCCTGGTTCTTCCCAATCACTGCAAACTTCTCAAGGGACTGGTAGGCTTTTAAAAGTGCAGTGTTTTCTCCACTGCTATCTTTGGCTAACAAAAAAAACCCACCAAAAATTAAAAAAAAAAAAAAAAAGTGCAGTGTTGAGGCTCAAACTTTGTTCTAACCCAAGGCAAGAAAGATGAGGGTGTCTGGAGGGACTGGACCAATTTTCTTTCTTTCTTTTTTTTTTTTTTGGGACAGAGTCTCACTTTGTTGTCCAGGTTAGAGTGAGTGCCATGGCGTCAGCCTAGCTCACAGCAACCTCAAACTCCTGGGCTCAAGCGATCCTGCTGCCTCAGCCTCCTGAGTAGCTGGGGCTACAGTCATGTGCCACCATGCCTGGCTAATTTTTTGTATATATATTTTTAGTTGGTCGATTAATTTGTTTCTAATTTTAGTAGAGACAGGGTCATGCTCTTGCTCAGGCTGGTTTCGAACTCCTGACCTTGAGTGATCCTCCCGCCTCAGGCTCCCAGAGTGCTAGGATTACAGGCGTGAGCCACCACGCCCAGCCTGGACCAATTTTCAATTATAGGTTGAGTATTCCTTACCTGAAATACTTGGGATCAGAAGTATTTCAGATTTTAGATTTTTTTGCATTTTGGAATATTTGCACATACACAAGGAGACTATCTTGGGGATGGAACCCAAGTTTAAACATGAAATTCATTTTATACACATAGCCTGAAGGCAACTTTACACAATATTTTAAATAATTTTGCGCATGAAACAAGTTTTGACTGCAACGATTTACATGAGGTCAAGCGTGGAAGTTTCCCCTTGTGGTATCATGTAGGCACTCAAAAAGTTCCAAGCTCTGAACATTGTGGATTTCAGATTAGCATTCCTAATCCAAACATAAAATTTACGCTTCACATATAGCTTATACCCATAGCCCGTCCATATTAGGGATGGTACCTGCATGTGGACCTGGTGCTTAAAAGGGATCAGGAAGTCACCTGTGATAGTGCTGGAGGCACGAAGAGCAGCTTGCATGCCACCTTTGGTCAAATCTCTCCTGGTAAAGTGCATAACTGTCTGTGTAAATATTGCTCAGGTCAGAAATCTGAGTCACCATTCCCTGTGGAGTTCACACCATGCTTTGTACATTAATGGCTCTAAGCAGTCCTGCAGTAGAGAAACCAGCTTCACTCTATCTAACCAGTCTTTCTCAAACTGGGTTGAGCATGGGACCTTTATGCCCCAAATTACCTAACAAACTATCTGGGTAGCAGTGTTCTGTGGAATATGCTTTAGGAAACCTAAACCTGCAGGACTACGTTTAGGAAGTACAAGCTCTCCAGGATGTGGCTCCTACTTAATTCTGCAACTGTACTGTTTGCTGCTCCCCACCTCTAACCACACTCAAGTTCTTCTGGTTCATGCAATGTGCCACACTTCCAACCTTGTGCCTGCTGTTTCTTGGAATGCTCTTTGTCTACCTGGAAAGCCCTACTCATTCCCCAAGTCCCAATCTAAGTATAATCACATAATCTGTGAAACTTCAACTCTCCTAGGCACAATAAATTGCTTCCTCCTGTGTTCCCAGTACACTTTATTCAAACTTCATTGACTGTATTGAAAGTAATTGGTTTCAGAGCTTTACCATCCTGCTGCTTCCTTCATTAATGAGTTAAATAAATCTTTGGCATGTGCTCACTTAAAAAAAGTAATTAATTTGACTTGGTCTTTTCTATTGGTTTGTGCATTTCTCAAGATGGCAAGGACAGTACCTTATTTATCTGTGTCCTCAGCAACAATTACCATGCCTGCCACATAACAGAGGTTGGTGTGTTTGTTGAATGATTATGTCCCAAACGCAGGGTAATATCCTCCCTCTACCTTAAGCTAAATAGATGATTCAGGTTTGTGAGCTAAAAATATAAAACCAAACATGAAAAAAATAAATAAATAAAACCAAACATGCTCAGAACAGGTTGGAGCTGTGAGGACCACTTTGTTCTGAGATAGGAGATTCAGAAAAAACACACGCCACTTTCCAGTGCCAGATGGAATTCATTAGTGCCTGTTTGTGTGCTGGGCAGAGTTACCCAGTAATCCAGGGAGACAGTAACCTGTCTTAGTGGTGGAAGGCAACTACAAGTATTTTTTAATGTCCTTGTCAGTTTATGAAAAGACAGACAAGTAAGCAGAATCATAAAAAAGTCTCAGATAGCGCCATGACCAAGTTCCACCAAAACATTCCCATATTCTATTTGAGTTTGTTGTAGCACTCTAGTCAAGTGTCATTTCTACCAGCTGAGACTGTTCCGCATCTGCTCACCTCAGGAGCCTGAGCACAGGACCGTGGCTCAGAAAGTACTTTTGGCAGAAGGCAGAATAGACAGACTCTTTTCATTAAGGAGTGTGTGCAAAGTACACAAGAATCAGGTTCTTTCAGATTTTATTTATTGCCTCTTGGCTGCTCTGCTTCTAGTAGGAGAAAAGTATTTGTTACTGATAATTATTCTTTGTTATTTTCATGGAAGTAAACCTGAAAACACAGAAAATGGGGGGAAAAAAACCCCAAGAGAACAGTTTCTTGGAAGTTTAAATCTATCCGATCCCTTGGCCACGTCATGTCCCACTCTGATTTACAGCAATCAAGCATTAAAGAAAAGACAGCAATAAATTCAATCCACATGGCTCTTGTAAAAAGACATCTATTTGGCTTTTAATATAAAATGACTCAAAGAAACACAGAAAGAACATATCATACAAGCCAGATGCTGAATAAAAAAAAAAAAAATCCCAACCAACAGATTTGTCATATTCCCTGTCTTCGGCCTGGATTAGAAAACAGGAAACTACAAACCAATCAATATCTGTCCCTTTGAAGAAAACATATTTAAAAAAAAAGTCCCTGAAATCTGACAGGTGGTTTTTAGAGGCCACTGGGAGCTTCCTGGTGAAATGGGATAGAAGTGTTTTTTGGAATATGGCCACTGCCTCCTGTTTCTTGTTCATGACGGTCATATCAAGGGAGGATGCTCGCCTGGGCAACATGTGACGCCACTTGTGCCGTCTGAGGTCTCACCGTCAAGCAGCCTTGTAGTCTTCCACCCCGTATCTTCACTGAATCTCACCCATGTATAGTCTCTTGTCACTGGATGCTGAGAGAACTGAGGTAAAAAAAACAGAGAAGATAACTGGAAATAATGTAGGATTAAGGAGACTTGATGCTCAAGGGTTCTTATGTCAAGAGTCGATTTTGGTATAATAGAGCAATTGGATTTAGCTTGAATTCCCCTTCTAAACGCCATCCACAGGAAACTGTAGCCTGGCTTTTCAATTCAAGCCCTCTCAAATTTCAATTCAAGCCCTGACTGACTGTGCTATGGGAAATACATTATTAGGCCCTAAATCATTTTTTTGTTTTTTATTTTTACATCCATAAGCAAGAGAAAGTATCTAAATCCTGATATCTCTTATCAGTCAAACCACAAGAGAAAGACCTTCTTGGTCATTCTGGAAGAGAGGAATCTATGTCTGTGCCAGTCATTTTGTAAATGTGCTTCTGCTTAGCCCTGGAGAATGTTACATTTTCTCCTGAAATTCAAGTCTTAAATTATTTGGTTTAGCTAGCCAAAAAGGTTTTAGTTCAAATTTATATCTAAATAGAACTTGTATTTGGATAAAAGAAACATATTCTTTTATCCAAACACATCATTGAAGCATAGACTTGCTGCAAGTAAACTAAAAAGAACTAGGAATAAATGGAGTAACCAACCTCCCTTAGAGATGGAGAAGAAAATGAAATTTGCTCTTACTCTTACCACTTAATTGATACCCATTAAAGACTGTTTGCATGGAAATTCACATAAAATAGATACCCACTTTTGCTTCTGTATTCCCAGGGCCCCTCATGGGAGATTTCCAGTTCTCCTTTCCCCATAGTCAGGCCAGACTTACTGATAGGCTCGTCGGGGTGGAAAGCCACTTCATTGATGGAGCCAGCATGGCCCGGCAGCTTATACAATATTCTCCTGCTGGTGGTATCCCACACATACACAAACCTGCAAGGTATCATGAAGAGCAAGGGTAAAGCCTTCTAGAGCTATGGATAGGGCAGAGGCATGGCTTTTTATGGGAAATGGAAGCAACAACTATTTATCTACTTAAGAGACAAGGTCTCACTATGTTGCCCAGGCTGCACTTGAACTCCTGGGTTAAAGCAATGCTCTTGCCTCAGTCTCTCAAGTAGCTGGGATTAGAAGTAATTTATTCATCCCATATTTACTGAACTGTGTTTTAGCTTTTAGAAACTAAGAGTTTATTGGCTGTCAGCACCAAAAATGAAGAAAAAAAAAAAGAAACTAAGAGTCTGAGTAACAACATGGACCCTGCCCATGAGCAACTAGGTAGAAAAATAAGAATAGCTAAAAATGAAGTTATCACTGTTTTTTTTCAAACACAAGCTTCTGAAATGGGAAAGGCCATGGAGAAGAAACAGTTTTTCATATGGACTCTACACAAAAACCTTCTTTAAGGAGGCTCTCGTAGAATTAGTCTACAGTTAACCTCCTAATCATCCGGGAATGTCTAAAAGGTAACCCAATTCATGGCATGTTGGGAGCCTAGGTTGTAGATCCAGGTGGATTTCTTAGTATTGTATTCAAACAGAGCCCAAAGAAGGGATAGGAAGCTTCTGCTGTACAAACATTATCCAAATAGTCACTTGAGCCCCATTTTCCACAGAATTAATAGGCAGAAAGAATCCTGAAATCTAGAATGGGAAGGGGCAAACAGAAATCAGCTAGTCTAAAACTCTCATTTTATACACAAGAAAACTAGTGTATAGTGACTTATCCTAGGTGACACAGTTCATCAGTGGCAGAACTAAAAATAGAACTCTTAATATATTCCAGTACTTTCCTTTCTCTTACCACTCTCAAATATCCGGGCCAAAATACAAAACAGTTCTTTTGACTCTGAACCTTTCCTGAGTTAAAACAAAGAGTTATTGTCTTCAGGCTGGGCGTGGTGGCTAACGCCTATAATCCTAGCACTCTGGGAGGCCAAGGGGGGTGGACTGCTTGAGATCAGGAGTTCGAAACCAGCCCGAGCAAGAGCGAGACCCCGTCTCTACTATAAACAGAAAGAGCAACTCACCAGTACTTGATTACAAAAAGGGTACATTCACCAGTACTGGATTATAAAATTCCTAGCTCTGATCCAACATTATACTTTTGGTCTAAAATGCAAATAAACAACAGCTTCTTAATTATACTGTTTGTTTTTCATGGGCTAGACTCCATAGGAACTAAATGAAAGTTCCAAGTGAGATGAAAGAGAAGCAGGAACCCTATCTGTCTAGACATGGCTCTAATACTCATGCCCTCCCTACTGTCTGCTTTCCTACCATGCACAAATAACTGGTTCTCATTAATCCAGCTAAGGGCAGTGTGATGTAGTGAAAGAGAAAGACCTCTAGGTCTAGAGAAAGACCTGGGTTCAATTCTCAGAGTAACTATTTATTAGCTAAGTAAACTTAGACAATTATTTAACTTCTCTGAGCTTCTTTCCTTAGTTATAAGGGAAGAAAAAAATATTGATCAGACAGCTGTGTTAAGAAGAGTAATGAGATAATGTATGCAAAATGCCTGGAATATAAGATGTAATTATAGCTATTGTTATTATGATTACATTCATTATCAAAACAGAATCTCATGAAGTCAAGAGGTTGAATAAATCACTCTTGGCTGAGAGATTGGCCAGTCCCCTGGAGTCCTTGACGGGACCATTGAGGGTTTTAAGTTTGAACACGAGGAGGTGATTTGTAAGTCAGAAAGGAAAATTTGCCACATCCAAGCCAAGTTGTAAAGCAATTTTCTGAGAAGGAAGGATACATTTCCCAGGCACATAAAAGACAGCAGAACCCCAGGTCTCCAAGGGTTTACTTCAAGGCTTCACTCTTGATGGCTGCCAAGATGATAAATTTAGAGGGGTTCCTTGTCCTTTCCTTACTTTGGCTTGGCAACATTCGGCAGGAACCAGGTTCCTTATGTCATGGAGCTGCTTGTTGACCTGGGGCTAATTGGCAAGGTGGCCTGTAAAATCTGGCCAACCCCCAGCAGGTAGAGGCAGGCTTTCCTCAGGTCAGAGCTATGCTTCTACATATAAAGTTTAAAGGAACAGTGGGGATGGAAGGAGGAAAGAGAGGACATTACAAGTCAGAAAGGGACAATGTCAGAAGCAAACTGCTCATCAGAAAAAATACTTAATTCAAATATAATTTGAAAGCCTAATTAGAAAGGAAAGATAAATTATCTCTGCTGAAAATTATGTAAAAACACTTGGAATGATTCTTACTGGAATGCAAGATACCTTAGTCTGTTTCTTAAGGTCTTTAGTAACCTGACAACTGAAAATCGCCTAGATTCCCTATTCAAGGCAGCTTTCTTCCAAACCTGCGGTCCCCAACCCCTGGGCCTCAGACCAGTAGTCCATGGACTGTTAGCACAGCAGGAGGGGAGAGGCTTCATCATACAGGGAGGCTTCCTCTGTAATTACAGCCTCACCCCATCGCTTGCTGAGCTTCCCCTTCCCATACCCTCTCACTCTGAGAAAAAACTGTTTTCCATGAAACCAGTCTCTGGTGCCAAAAAAGGTTGGGGACTGCTGTTCTAAACCACTTGGACTCAAATCATCAATGTGGCACTGTTTCACCTGGACTCTTTCTTTTTCCTCCAGAAACCTGAATACTCATCCATTTTTTCTGGTATTCAACTTGTCAGGGAAAAAAAAAAGTAGACTCTAGAATTTAAGTGTAGTCAGTATTATTCACAAACAGAAAGGTGCAGGACAGACCAGTGCCAGGTCTCCCAATAGTGGAAAACCTTGGAATATGCCAAATGTCCAGGCTAGTCCAGGAAAGGCTTCCCATTTATACAATAGTGTTTGTTTCAGTAGGGTAGGAGGACAATCTCTAATGGGAAGAAGAATGGATGGGGTTAAACTAAAAAGGGTCAAGACATCTCCCAATGGGAACTAAATCTAGAATTTGCCATTAGGGGGGTCTCACCATTCTTTACCAGTCCACATTTGCAGCCCATCAGCCTTGACACCTGGATATGCCTAATTAATCTCTGATTCCCTCCCAAATACAGGTCACCACGGACGTACCAAATACAACAAACTTAATTGCTAGAAGAATTCTCTCCTTTCTGCTTCTCATTCAGCAAATAATGCCTGAGACAGTTTAGATTCACATTTCATAAGGCCTCAGTCTATTAATTCAGCACTGGGGTGGAACTACCTGGTCCACATGATGTTATACTCCTTACCTAGCAATCATCACGCTTCCCCTAACCCAGATCCAGTTCTGAATCATCCTCAACACAGGCAGCTATTACCAATAGCTCAGCTGACATGTAGGGTAAAATGTGACTGCCATCCTCGAGCTAGGAATTCATTCATGTAATATTCACTAAGTGCTTAGAACAGATCAAGCACTGACAAGCACTGCCCTGGGTTCACAGAGATGACAAAGGCTTATTCCTTGATGTCTAGGAGCAAATAATTTAGTGACTCACTATGTTTGTCTGACTGTAATATCTAATAAATGCTAATAAAGATGAGATGTATGAAGTGTGACTATAGCACAAAGTACAATTAAACTGCAGAGGTGCGGGCAAGAGAGAGAGAGAGAGAGAAAGAGAGAGAGACAGAAAGAGAGGGAAGGCCAGGGAAAGTTTATAGATAATATAGAGGTGGTTACTATAGCGATATGGAAGTTTGGATGGTGGAGAAGAGGGAACACGAGAGAGAACTTGGACATGAGAATGCACAGTGGAGGTTAATAGGAGCGTTCCATGTGAGAAGCACTGTGATGATGGTGGGGGAGGTGAGTACTAAATATGTATTCAAATGAACTGAAGCATGGGAGAAAAATCTGATGAGGGAGACTAGAGATAGATTATGAGTTTAAATTTTATTTTGATGGCAAAGGGAATTCAAGAGTCAAATAAGCTGTTGACCCTCCAGATCTAAAATGTATCCAAAGAGGTTGGAAATGATGTATTTATCTAACAATGGTTTTTAAACCATACTGCACACAGCTTCATCTCTGAGCATAGCTGTAACTGTTTGCTCTGGCTCCATATCTACATTTCATGTATTAAACATGAGAAGATAGCTGCATAGCTACATCATTCTTTACCTCACACCCAGTAATCCTTACCTGTCAGCTGAGCCAGCTGCTATTTTGCTTCCATCGGGTGACCAAGAACATCTCAGAAGATTCTACAATGATAAATATAAATCCACTGAATAGTAACATACTGAATTTCTCACTGCTATACTACAGAACCACTGACTTTAAGTTTCCTAAGTAGAGTTTTAATTATTTTCCCCAGAAAGATGATCAGTATTTAATTACTTTATATACTCTGTGGCTCCAAACAGCATATTTTGTTATTTTATACCATATAGAAACTGTAAAAAATGCTTAATTTACGGTTAATTAGATTGAACCTGGCAACAAAATTTTGTTCTTCCTACAAATAGAAGCTCACTTTGCTCCATTTATCTTGATCCTTATTAAATTTTTTTTCTGTTTATCTTGAAGAAAAATAAAAACCAAACCGAACAAAAAATAGGATTTGATTTATAAAGTGAAACTGAATCTGAACAAGCTCTCAAAAAAACCCCATTAATCTCTATTAACAAATTCTCTGAGGGGAAAAGCTGCTTTCAACAGAGTTGACCTGAAAATTTGCAGGCTTGAAAAAAAAAATTTCTTCTCTCTCAGTACTTGGGCTGTGGTGCTTACTGAGGTGAGAGATGTATTCTCAGGGCTCTGACAAATGGTTCCTCAGGAGGGATTGGGGAAGGAGACCGTCTGGATAATGGATCCCCAGCAAAGGGATCCTGGGTTCCATATGGAACACTGATCTAAGAGGGTGAAATTTCCAAGTAATGAAAAGGCTGGGATTATCCTGTTGAGGGTGGACTGAAGTGAGAAGTCTTCAGTATGAGAGTTGGCCCCATCACTATTGGGCTGTGTGACTTTCTCTGCTACACGTCTATTAGTTTCATTTCTGGAACAGAAGAGTTTTGATGAAGAACAGTGTTACTGAAACGCAGTCCATTCTTAGAGTTATTGCTCTCTATCCTTAGCACCATTTTAAATGTTTCTTTAAATTAGATAGACAGTAAAACTCTTTTGCCATGCAGAACTCACCTTTTCAAAGTTGTGTACATTTCCTTGAAATATCTTCACACACCTCTCCTTGGGGGCAAATGGCCTGACATCCCAGACACGAACTGCAAAACAAATCCAAATCAACCAACCAAATAACTATCAGCCAGAGACTTCCTGAGCACCCAGCTAAGATTATTGTCAATGATAGATGATATCCTGGGTGGAGGAGGTCCAGTATGACACACTGCTACCTGTTAAGGATCTTTTCTTTTTCTAGCAGGAATAAAATGCATCCAAGTCCCATTAACTGAGGCTAGCTGAGAAGGTAGGAAAGAGAAATGTCAAATACACTGTTGGGGATTTGCAACAGAATGCAGTTGGGTATGACACTAATTAAAAAAACATTCTGTAAATGATTCTTCCAACAACTCAGAGTCACATTCAGCAAAGCTGAGGGACAATTTAAATACCACAGACTACTGTGACATTGAATCCATAATATAAAACCAAACTTCAAATCAAGAGAGCACTGTACCAAGAATAAGAAAAAGTAAACTTCGATTCTAATTCTAGCTCTGCTATATATATGGATGACATCAGGTAAATAGTGATATTGCTTGTGTCTTGGTTTTCCACTCTGTAAAATGAGGAGAAAATTATCTGTTTCTTTTTGTAATTAATTTTTAAAAATTTAAAATTATTATGGGTACATAATAGTTGTACATACTTATTGAGTATAGAGTACATGTGATTTTTTTTTTTTTTTGAAACAGAGTCTCAGTCTGTCCCCCAGGTTAGAGAACAGTGGCATGATCATAGCCAAAAGGATGATGGTGATGTTGTTGTCATCACCATCTAACACATAGTACTTACTTTTATGTCAGGTGTCATTCTCAGAGCTTTATATCATTAATTCATTTAATCTTTATGACAACCTCTTGAAATTTTTTTTTTTGAGACAAGAGTCTTGCTCTGTCCCCTCGGCTAGAGTGCTGTGGTGTCAGCCTACCTCACTGCAATATCAAACTTCTGGGCTCAAGCGATCCTCCTGCCTCAGCCTCCCAAGTAACTGGGACTATAGGTACATGCCATCATGCTCAGCTAATTTTTTTTATTAATATTGTTTGTAGAGACGGAGTTTTGCTATTGCCCAGGCTGATCTCAAACTTTTAGCCTCAAGTGATCCTCCAATCTTGGCCTTCAAAAGTGCTGGGATTACAGGTATGAGCCATCACATCTGTCCTATATGTAATGTTTTGATATAGGAAGACAATGTAATAATCAGATCAGAGTAACTGGGGTATCTATCACCTCAACTATTTATCATTTCTTTAGAACATTCAAATTCAACTCTTTTAGTTATTTCAAAATATATAATTATCTGTTCTTTTTTCATAGAACTATTTTAAGAATCAAATGAAATGATGTATGTGAAAAGGTTCTAAAAATTAGAGGCAATAAAGAAAAATAAAGAATCTATAATTTTATTATGTAGCCATAACAAGAAATTCTTCCTACTATCATCTAATTACTTTTTTCTTATTATTATTTTAATTAATTAATTATTTATTTTTTGAGACAGAGTCTCGCTCTGTTGCCCCGGGTAGAGTGCTATCGTGTCAGCCTAGCTCACAGCAACCTCAAACTCCTGGGCCCAAGCAATCCTACTGCCTCAGCCTGCCAAGTAGCTGGGACTACAGGCATGCACCACCATGCCAGGCTAATTTTTTCTATGTATTTTTAGTTGTCTGGCTAATTTCTTTCTATTTTTAGTAGAGACGGGGTCTTGGTCTTACTGAGGCTGGGCTGTAACTCCTGACCTTAAGTAATCCTCCTGCTTCTGCCTTCCAGAGTTCTAGGATTACAGGCGTGAGCCACCACAACTGGCCTTTTGCTATTATTTTAATAACCATTTAGAGAACCTCACTGTTCCTCACTATAAAGAATGCTAGAATTAGCCAGGTTCAGTGGCATGCTGCTATAATCCCATCTACTTGGGAGGCTGAGATGGGAAGTTTGCTTGAGCCCAGGAGTTTGAGACAAATCTGGGCAAAAAAGTAGGATTAGTGAGACTCTAATTAAAAAAAAAAAAAGAGTTAGAATCAGTGATAAATCCACTAAAATCAGGATACATGTATAAACATCCATTATAAGTAATAGTTACAGCCACTGTAACTGAAACTATACCTTATAACAGAATTTGAGTGATGTAATTTTATTTGAGTGTGAAAAAATGCCAACCCTTGGAGTCACACAGGCAAAAAAGGCAAAGGTATGCATGAAAGTTTGTTATGAAGATGAGAATATAGTCAAAAGGTAAACATGACCATTCAACAAATATTTACTGTGTATCAGATATAATTTTTATTACAAAAAAATCACTGAATGCATTTTAGTTCCTGACAAGTCTATGAACTGTATACCAGGGCATTTCCAAACTCTCCCAATACCAAACATATAATCCAGCAAGTCTCCTGCTTTTTGCTATAGTAAACCCATTCTTCCACCCTACAAACTCAGAACAAGCAAAGAGAAAGGGCAAGAGTTCTTCTTTGTGTAAATCTAGAATGCTGAGATGTTTCAATGAGAAGACACACACAAATGCTTTCAGAGTGTGGAGGAAGATATATAAGCAGGAAAGAACACAACAGGTCTGTTGTTGACTCAAGCTTGGCACTCCCTGAAACGCTTGAGAAATGCCTAAAATGGACCTCTAGACTCACTTTTTTCTTGTTAAACTAATCACCCAGAGTTTCTTCTCTCCTGCTTGGATTAACAGCATACCAGAGGCAAAATGGGCCTTAAAGGTAAAGTCTCTTATCAATGTAAAAACTGATGCTCAGAGAGAAGAAATGCTATGTGCAAAGTTGCTCAGAGACTACATGGCAGATTTGGGACTAGAGTTCTAGATTCTCAACTACTTCGTCTAAACCTTTCCCATTACAACATGTTCTAATTGCCTGGTGGAATCTGTGAGGCACCCTCAATTTTTTCCTTGGACCCTCACTTATCCAGTATACATTTCTAGCATCCAATGCCAACTTCCTTTAGGGTCCACAGTGACTGGGCACTGGGAAATCTTTCCTGCCCAAAGTTACCTGTATTGTCCATTGCATTGGACAAGAGATAAGAGCCTTCAGAACTTAAACTCAGGCCAGTCACTGAATCCGCATGGCCTCTCATGGTGTAAGTCAGCTTATTTTGGCGCAGGTCCCAAACCTGCAAAAACAAAAAGGTGCTCCCATAAATCAAATTTATAACAGCAGAGAAACAGAATTATTCAAGAGTTAACTGCCCAGAGATACTGGTATCTCTTCTTAAAATGGTTTTCTGAGCCATGTATTATTTTAGCACAAAATACAGAATTTCTGTCAAAGAGAAAAAAACTCTTATCTTTCTATAAAGGGAGTCAACGTCACTATGTTGACTAGATAGATATAAACTAATGAGTGTCAAATATTAAGATAAAGTTCCAAATAAAAAATAATAGAATCAGAGAGGTTATTTTCAAAACATAACAAAATGTATTAGGCATTAAAGAAATAACTGAATAGCATTTAAAATGCTTAAATTGAAATTCTTAGCCACTAAAAAAATTATTAGAACTACATAAAAATGAGTAAACATGACATGTGAAAAAGGCATGTAAAATGTATATAACGAAACAATATGCATAAATATATATGCTTAAAATTTTTCATTTAATGTCACAGTATGTACATACACATAATATGTTTATGTATACAAGTATATACATACACATATACCATAAAAAAGCACATTTATTAAAAGAAATTAAATTGCAGATTCACTATTGCACACATAGGAAAGGTAAGATAAACAGCTCAGCTGAAAATGAACTAAATGTCAAACAGGGTAAATAGATGGTTTATTAAGTTACGGCTCACAAGCACACTGCAACACTATGAGTTCTCACACAAGAGACAGCATGACCGAGTGGAGACTTCGTAGGGTCAGAATGAACCAGTCTCTGTCACTCAGAGTTATGTGTCATTGGGCTACTAACCCTTTCCGAGCCTGTTTCCTGGTTGGTAAAGATAGGGATAACATTATCTACTTTTTATGCTTGTTGTAAGGATTACAAAAAAGAGTGCTTAGCATATGCTTTTCACATGGTAGGCTCTCAATAATTTGTACCTATTATTAAAGCAGCTCCTAAAAATAACTCTGAAGACCAAATGTAAAAATATTTACATAATAAGCTATTAAGCAAAAAAAGAAAACACAAAACAGCATTTATATTTAGACAGACAGCAACTATGTAAAATATATATTCAAGCTGACAGAAATAGTCTGGATGTCATATGGAAAAATAAGAGCAATTTTTTTTTTTATCTTCACTTTGAGAACCTAAAATAGCAATTTTGTTAAGGTCATCGCTATTATACAACATTTCCCTCAAATTTTATTTCATATTGCCATGTAGTTTTTCTAAATGAATAAAATTTCTGCTATTTCTTAAAGCAAGACACTTTCCTTCATACCCTCAGAAATGAGTTAGGTGTTACATGAGAGAGCAGACAACTCCACTTGCTCAGTCAGTAACTCTTTCAAGTGTGGAGCCCAATACAAACATTACACACAGTCATTTTTTGTGTCAAGATGTTTGCTGCCTCAGTAATCAGGAAAGGTTGAAATAGCTGACATTTTGTTCAAACTGTTTGTTACTCCTCTTCCTCAGTGAAGGCACTGTTGAAATCTTTAGCTTTGTAACAATTAGGAGAGAATGAATGCACTTTGTCACCCCTCAGAGCACTTGTGTGCTATCTCCAGACTTTCCTCCTTGAGGACTGTATACCCTGTTTGTGCAGGGCCAAAAAGTACCCAGGATTTGGCACAAAACGAGTGAGTATAGCATTAATTTAAGCAAAATATTTTGCAAGTAGACTAACTAGCTGTTCAATGACAATTCGGGCAACTGATTATTGGCAGGCACTGTTAGAGATTTAAAAAAAAAGAAAAAAAAGACTGAAGCAGAAGAATGGTTTGAGACCAGGAATTCAAGACCAGCCTGGACAAAATAGCAAGACCCCATCTCTTAAAATAAAAAAGAGCTGGGCATGATGGCGTGTGCCCATAGTCCCAGCTACTCAGGAGGCTGAGGCAGGAGGATCACTTGAGCCCAGGAGTTTTAGGTTGCAGTGAGCTATGATGATGCCACTGTACTCTAGCCTGGGGGACAGAGTGAGACCCTGTCTCAAAAAAAAAAAGGAAAAAAAAAAGACACAATTCCTGTTCTCAAGGACTGTTCAGTTTCACAGAGAAAAGAGACAATGAGAGGCCTATACGAGGTGCAGTAACAAAGACAGCAGAGGGATTAAGTCTCTTGTGAACAGGGATGAGAGTCAGAAAGGGAAGCTTTCACAGAGAATAAAGCACTTGAGCAGAGTTTCAAAGAAGGAAAAGATTTTTTTTTTTTTTTACACTTTAACAAAGTGGAAGAGTATTTCCAGGAGAAGGTACATGTGTGAAAGCAGAGGCATGAAAAAATTGCTGGACTGTAGGGAACTAGGCATCAAGAGGCAGCAGATAATGCTTGTGAGTTAGGCAGAGGCAAGCTCACAAAAAGGTTTTGAATGCCTGGCTTGGAATTTATCTCTCTTATTGCGGAGTTGCAGAAGGGTTTAAAAGTAGGGGAACTGAGGCTGGGCACAGTGGCTCATGCCTGTAATCCTAGCACTCTGGGAATCTGAGACCAGCCTGAGCAAGAGTGAGACCCTGTCTCTACTAAAATTAGAAAAAATTAGCTGGGCCTGGAGGCACATGCCTATAGTCCCAGCTACTCAGGAGGCTGAGGCAAGATGATTGCTTGAGCTCAGGAATGTGAGGTTGCTATGAAGTAATGAAGACGCCACTGCACTCTACCTTGGGCAACAGAGCAAGACTCTGCCTATAATAAATAAATGAATGAATGAATGTAAGTAAGTAAATATAAGCATGTTTCTGATTTTGGGTACAGGCTGTCTTGACTGTCTTCTGGCAGCAGCAGTTAGCAACAATATTTGAAATCAGGTTGCTAAAGGTTTTTTGTTTTTATTTTTGTTGTTGTATAACAACAGCCCCTGCACCCCACACAAACTCTGGGTTTTGAACTGTTCCATCAGTTATTAGCTATGTAATCCTAGGCTAAGTTGTTGTGCCTCCTTTGGCTCAGTTTCTTCATCTATAAATGGCATTAACAGTATTTATTAATATTTCATGAGGTTGGCTTGGCACGGTGGTTCACACCTATAACCTTAGCACTCTGGAAAGCCGAGGTGGGAAGGTCGCTTGAGGTCAGGAATTCCAGACCAGGCTGAGCAAGAGTGAGACCCCATCTCTACTAAAAACTGAAAAAATTAGCCAGGTGTGGTGATGTGCACCTATAGTCCCAGGTACACAGGAGGCTGAGGCAGGAGGATCACTTGAGCGTAGAAGTTTGAGGTTGCAGTGAGCTAGGCTGACACCATGGCATTCTAGCCTGGGGAACAGGGGAAGACTCTGTCTCAAGGAAAAAAAAATTGCAAGAGGCTGTTGTTAAGATAAAATGGATTAATGATATAAAGCCCTGAGAATGACACCTGACATAAAAGTATGATGACAACATCACCATCATCCTTTTTCAAGAAGTTTGGCTGTAAAGGAGAAGGCTCACAGGGCAGTATCAAGAGAAAATGTGGAATTGAAGGAACATTCGCCCGCCTGCCATAGAGAAGAGACCTAAGCATGATGAAATCTAGATGAGAGGTAGAAAAGCAGAAAAGAGGTTAAAAGAAGGGAAGAAGGATTGAAACACTTTCATTTAAAGGACTACCTTTAGACACAACAAGAACATTTCATCCATAGTAACAGCAAAGTAGGCAAGGAGAGATGGGAATACAGTTCAATTTCTAGGTTGGGACAACACAGGAAGTTAAGTATTTGCCTGACAGTTACTATTCTCACGACAAGGCAGAAAATAATGCCAAAGTCTTTGAGATCCTTAAGGAAACCAATAAATAAAGGTAGATACGAATTTTGTAGTTCCCAAATAACACTTCACTTTTACTGGCACTTGCTATGTCCAGGAATTCTGCTAGGTGTTCTAATGCATTAGGCTCATTTACCCTCTATAACAACCCTATGAGGTAGACAGTATTATTGTTGTTAGTACCACCCTCACTGTTCACAGGAGAAAACAGAGGTTTAAAGAAGTTAAAGAACTCACTTGAAGTCATAAAACTAGAAAATGTTGGAACTGGGATTAGAATCCAAGTCAATTACTTGAAAGCTTGAGCTACACTGTACTGCCATATGGTTGGTAACATCTTTACCACTTTCTCTATTATTATTACTGTCTCTAATTTTTACAGAAACGTACACAGTTCCCCTTACCCAGGGACTTCAGACTTCACATTAACTCCCTGGTTCCTGACAGTACTTATAGGGGCTGCAATGCAACCTCTGATTTAGGATGTCAATGAGCATAGGAGAGAAAGAAAATAAGTTCCAATAAATTCCAAGTTACTATCTTTCTTTTAGTTGGTATTAAGTGCAAAGTTATCACAATCTCTGAAATTTAAAAAGATTTGCTTCTATGAGTGAAGCTAGATGAAGGAAACTATAACATAAACATCAAACATACCTTTATATCGTTGTCTATTCCACCAGAAATAATCTGATCACTTGTATCATTGAAGGTCACAGCTAACACCTGGTATGTATTCTGAAATGTCTGAATGGCTGCTTTCTTCCGGATGTCCCAAAGCTGAAACAGAGGAACAGAAGAATGTATTAGTAACATTACTCTAAGAAGTAACTCTACAGTATACTCTTTTTTATTTTTTTTTTTGAGACAGAGTCTCACTTTCTTGCCCAGGCTAGAGTGAGTGCCGTGGCATCAGCCAAGCTCACAGCAACCTCAATCTCCTGGGCTCAAGCAATCCTACTGCCTCAGCCTCCCAAGTAGCTGGGACTATAGGCATGTGCCACCATGCCCGGCTAACTTTTTTGTATATATATTAGTTGGCCAATTAATTTCTTTCTATTTATAGTAGAGATGGGGTCTCGCTCTTGCTCAGGCTGGTTTTGAACTCCTGACCTCAAGCAATCCACCCACCCTGGCCTCCCAGAGAGCTAGGATTACAGGCGTGAGCCACCGCGCCCGGCTTTTCATAGTGTTTTAATCTAGCCTGGCTCCATTCCCTGCTCAGTTAAGGGTTTGTTTGAAAACAGCCAACATTCCCAGTATAGTTTCCTAGTACTAGAGGAAACAGAACAGGCCTTATTCTTTATTCGCAAAGAATTACAGTTGTTTGTTTTTATCTGTCTGGTGGCTCCCTAAAGGATGAGCTTAAAGGTCTTGCATTTATTTTGCCCAATTTGGAACTTTCCTTGACAATATTTAAAGGCAAATGCATTAGCCTCTGCTGCTGGGGGCAAAGGATAACAGTTGGGGCAAATAATATTAATAGACAAACCAAAAAAGCTTGGGATGAAAGGCTGAAAAAAGAGACAATTTGAGGAATAAGCTTTGAAAAGTTCTGACACATTCCTGGGAATCTAGAAGGCCACCTGCATGCCCAGGGCTGCACACATGCTTAGAAAAGACCTTAGTAATAAGCTCTCTAGTTGACGTGGAGGCTCTACACAAGGATAAGTAACAGGTAATGCAGAGTTGTAAGCTACATAACTGAGAGTTGAAGGCAGCCTCCAACATAACACAGAGACAATCTTCAAAGATTGGGTGAAGTTTTTTGTTATTGTTATTCTAGGTGATTAAAAAAATCTCTTGTCAATCACTAGCTGACAATTAAGCTAGTGGAACAAGAATTCAGTTTGTCCTACACAGGACAAATACAGACTTTAAAAAGTTAGTTCAAAAGTCACTAAACAAACAAACACACACACACAAGTGGCAACGACAGCTCTGAGGACTACCTAATCTCCAGAGTTGCCACATTATAAGGTCTAGTTTTCAACAAAAAATTATGAGGCATGCAAAGAAGCAAGAAAATATAGTCCACATAGAAGGAAAAAAAAGTCTTTTCAACAAATGGTGCTGAGACAACTGGATAAACACAAGCAAAAGGATGAAGGTAAACCCCTACCCTAGATGATGTCTAAAAAAGAAGCTCATTAAGAATATAAATAAAAGAGGCCAGGCGCGGTGGCTCACGCCTGTAATCTTAGCACTCTTGGAGGCCGAGGCGGGCCGATTGCTCCAGGTCAGGAGTTTGAAAGCAGCCTGAGCAAGAGCGAGACCCCGTCTCTACTATAAATAGAAAGAAATTAATTGGCCAACTAATATATATAGAAAAAATTAGCCGGGCATGGTGGAGCAAGCCTGTAGTCCCAGCTACTCGGGAGGCTGAGGCAGCAGGATCACTTGAGCTCAGGAGTTTGAGGTTGCTGTGAGCTAAGCTAACACCATGGCACTCATTCTAGCCTAGGCAACAAAGTGAGACTCTGTCTCAAAAAAATAAAAATTAAAATTAAAAAAATTAAAAAGGTATACTATTCAGACTAAAGAACTCTTATTAATTCAACAACAAATACACAAACAGGCCAATTAATAAATGGCCAAAGAACTTGAATAAACAGTTCTTCTTAGATATAAAAATGGCCAATAACATGAAAAGATGCCTAACATCATGTCATTAAGGAAATGCAAATCAAAATATTACATACTACTTCACATCCCTTAGGATAGCTACTAAAAACCCCAAATAAACAGAAACTAAGAAGTGTTGATAAGGACGTGGAGAAATTGGAACCCTCATGAATTGCTGGTGGGAATATAAAATGGTACAGCTGCTGTGGAAAAGTCTGGCTGTTCCTCAAAAAGTTAAATACAAAATTACCACATGACCCAGCAATCCCACTCCCAAGTGTATATAAAAGAGTAGTGAAAACAAAAAGTTGTTTATGTATGTTCACTACAGCATTAATCCTAATAGTTAAAGTAGGCCGGAAGCAGTGGCTCACGTCTGTTATACTAGCACTTTCGGAGGCCAAGGCAGGAGGATGGCTTGAGGACAGGAGTTTAAGACTGGACTGGGTAACATAGTGAGATCTCACCTCCAAAAAAGAGAATTAACTATTGTGCAGTGGCACACACCTATAGTTCCAGCTACTTGGGAGGCCATGGTGGGAGGACTGCTTGAGGCAGGAGTTTGAGGTCAGCCTGGGTAACATCGAAAGACTCCATATCCACTAAAAAAGTAAAAACTAGCTGGATGTGGTGGCACATGCTTGTTGTCCTAGCTGCCTGGGAGGCCGAGGCAGGAGGATCGCTTGAGCCCAGTGCACCACTGCACTCTAGCCTGGATGACAGAGTGAGAACTTGTCTCAAACTAAAAAACCAAAAAGAATTCAAATATCCATCAAGTAATGAATAAACAAAACACTGTATAGCCATACAATGGAATATTCAGCTATTAAAAGGAGTCTAGTATTGACACATGCTACAACATGAATGGGCCTGGAAATGTGCTAAGTGAAAGAAGACACAATAAGCCACATATTTTATGGCTGTATTTATATGAAATATCCATAGGCAAATTACAGAGACAAAAAGGAGGTTAGTGGATACCAACAGCTGGAAGGTAGGGGATTGACTGCTTAATAGGTTTGGGGTTTCTTTTGAGGCGATGAAAATGTTCTGGTATTGAATTGTTGTGATGACTACACACACTAAATGTACTGAAAGCCACCAAATTGTACACTTTTAAAAATGGTGAATTGTTACCTAAACTTTACCTCACAATTAAAAAAATCATAGAAAAGAAGATAATCAGAGAACATCACATGCAGAAAGGGATGGTTCATAAATAGAAACAGACATACTAGGGGTGTCTAGTGGGTTACAGTATAAAATATAACGAAGGTTGTCCAGAAAGTATCGAGGCATTGTTAACATGAACAGTTATCCCATATGACTTGAAGAAAAAATAATAAATTAAAAAAGAAAATAAAAATAAAAATAATAAAAAAACACACACACACATGAACAGTTACATGGCTGGATACTTTCTGGATAACTCTCCTATTCCTTTATATGAGCTGTGATTAAAAGAAAGTTTAGGCTGGGCGCAGTGGCTCACGCCTGTAATCCTAGCACTCTGGGAGGCCGAGGCGGGCGGATTGCTCTGCTCGAGGTCAGGAGTTCGAAACCAGCCTGAGCTAGAGCGAGACCCCTACCTATGATGTTTTTTTTTTTTTTTTTTTTTTGAGACAGAGTCTCGATTTGTTGCCCAGGCTAGTGTGAGTGCCGTGGCATCAGCCTCGCTCACAGCAACCTCAAACTCCTGGCTCAAGGGATCCTCCTGCCTCAGCCTCCCAAGTAGCTGGGACTACAGGCATGCGCCACCATGCCTGGCTAGTTTTTTTTTTTTTTTCTATATATATTAGTTGGCCAATTAAGTTCTTTCTATTTATAGTAGAGACGGGTCTCGCGTCTCGCATCTCGCTCTTGCTCAGGCTGGTCTCACTCACTCCTGACCTCAAGCAATCCGCCCACCTCGCCTCCAGAGTGCTAGGATTACAGGCGTGAGCCACCCCCTGGCCTAAGCCTATGACTTTTTAACTAAGATTGCATGGTTGATTCCTTTCTTTTTGATGACAGCCCTTTAAAACTTGGAACACATTCACTCCAAATTCTTTTTCTTCTGAATAAAATGACCTATACTCATTTCTCCTGGTTCATCTTCTCAAGTCTCTCAGTCATTTATTGAAACATCTCTGGGCCCTCTATATTATCCACACTTTTTTTTTTTTTTTGAGACAGTCTTACTGTGCTGCCCAGGCTAGAATGCCATGGCGTCAGCCTAGCTCACAGCAACATCAAACTCCTGGGCTCAAGCAATCCTTCTACCTCAGCCTCCTGAGTAGCTGGGGACTACAGGCATGCGCCAACATGCCCGGCTAATTTTTCTATTTTTAGTTGTCTGGCTAATTTCTTTCTATTTTTAGTAGAGATGGGTCTTGTTCTTGCTCAGGCTGGTCTCAAACTCCTGACCTTGAGCATTCGGCCCGCCTCTGCCTCCTAGAGTGCTAGTATTACAGGTGTGAGCTACCACATCCAGCCTATCCACACTTTTAAAATGTAGAACCACAGTGGTTATGTTGTTTTGTTTTTAAGTACACCCAAATTGCCTAGCTAGAGTATGGAGTTCTTGAATTGTTATACCTAATCTTCCTTTCCTTTCCTCCTATATTATTATCAGGTAGCCATTAAAAATGAATACATGTGTTAATTTCTTTTTTAAAAA